AAAATGTTTTGTAAGTTGATTTATTTTATTTTTTTCTCGTTTTTTATTTCATTCATTTCCCCACTCTTTTATTTTTTTTGTCTTCTCCCTTTTCTTTTTATTTCATTCATTTTCTCCCGCTCTTTTATTTTTCTGTCTTCTCCCTTTTCTTTTATTCTTATTCTTTTTATCTCATTATATATTTTCTTTATTCTCTAAATGAGACCCTAATAAATATTTTTCATTCTTACCTACAGAATTTCGGGTGCATACACGCACGATTTCAACAAGTACATATACTACATAGTTAAATTGGAACGGGGCAATTACCTTGGCCTAAGAGGTCTTGTTCTTGAGTCCGCAGTGCTTATTGCAAAAAGTTTCCCATGAAATGAAAAAAAGGGAGTTTTTCTAGTAGGTCGGTCCTATCGGTAGCGTCAATTTCTGATTTTTAGATCAGGATAAAATCATATCAGATTAAAAAAGTGTACAGAATATATAGTTTTTAATATGACTGAAAATAAAAAACTATCTGACAATTTATTTATTTTTCGATCCTACCAAAGAAGCTCCTTAAAAAAGACAACTAAAAGTAAAACACATAATGAAACTTTATTATTGAAACTTATTATTGATATAATTTTTTTCTTACTCCTCACGCACCCACATGTGATATTCCCAAATAAGTAACCTTTTAATGTATAAACTCAACTATTTTTAGATTTACAACAAAACTCCAATTTCCACCTTTCAACTATCTCACAAAAGTTTGCATAATGGAATAATTTATTTCTGGCTATTTACTACACCATATACATATTGTATATACGATTGGTATATAATTAAAATATATATGGACAAGTTTTCAATTGTTGGTAGTTACCACTAAATATAAAAATTTAATAACGCGTTGTGATAAGAATATAATTCTATTAATTATCATGAATATTTTTGATCAACTATTTTTCATCTATGGTTATATATATAATCTGTGTATATTTGTATGAAAAAATGTAATAATAATATTTTATTTTTCGCTTTCAAAAAAAGAATCTTTTGTTTAATTTATAAATTTCTCTTTTATATATATATATATATATATATATATATATATATATACGGAAAAAAAGAGTTTGTCGTTGTAGGCACAATCTAACTATAATTCTACATCTGATTCCATCAAAGAAAAAGAAAAGGTTATTGAAGCGGTGGAGAAGTAATAATCTTTAGAAATAGTTAGCGGTAATTTTAAA